AAATATAAAAACAACTGCAGTGAATGGCCTTGGAGTCAAAGTTCGGAAATTACTGCATTTCACTTCACAAAAAAAAAGTTCAATTGGTATGGCAACTATATGCTATACTTATCTGATGTCGGCGATTCCAACAAATTAGCAGCAGAAGAAAAAAAAAACGGCTGCAAAATTTCAGTTCGATATATATAAAACTGTCAACATAACCCTGATTTTTCACTTACTTTCATGTGTTTTTTCGCCTTCGCTCACCTTTGCCACGATATTCGTCCGACTGTTCATCTGTTTCCGTGTTGTAAGCATAGATTCAAGACTTATCACCAGTAATATCATAACATGTTTCATGGCATCTTGGTAGTCGGAAAGATTTATTCAAATTCAATTTATTAATTATTCAAAAAATCGAATGATTTTGGAAGCAATTGCGCTTTCACTTGTCTTTGGCCCAAATGATCTTTCAAACTGGTTTTCACTGATCCTTCTGATATTCCAAAGTTTCACGTAAGATCTCTGACTGTTAATTATCGATTCTCAAGCAACAATTTCTTTATTTTGTTGAGGTCATGATGATCACATCAGTTGATGTTCACGGCTGTCCTGAACGTGGTAGTCAACGCGTTTTCGACCCTACTTGAATAATTTGTATCAACCAAAAACACTTGTTCGCGACAGACAATTATCACATTAGGCCTTTTTCTACATTCTGAATATTTCGGCAATTTCTTTGTTGAATAATATCACTAATCGTAAAAATCGTAGAAATCTCTTTACGAACTTCCGAAAGACAAGCGTACTAATTTCATTATTTTGATCTGACTTTTGGCGCAGATGTTCGCGTGAAATTTAAATTAAAAAGTCTTACTATTTTTTGGCCACCTACTGTGTGTATGTCGATCAATTTCCCATATGTCAGTCTGACAAAAAGCGCTAGATACTGTAAATATTTCACTTGTAATAGGAAGTCTGCTGTTATAAACAAGCTGACACTTATTTGTCATATTTTGCTTATCACCCTTAAAGTAGGCAACAAGAAATATCATTAAACCAAAAGCAAATCAAACGTTGCTACATTTAGATCAATTGTTAAATAAGCATTATTTCCATTTACCGAAGTTCTGAACCTAAACGAGTAACAAAATATAATCTTTAAATAATATATCTAAGTATTAAGTTAGCTATGAAAATATTTAATAGTACCTTTAAACAACATCAGATATAAATATACATATTATCAGCTCAAAAAATATTATAAATACACCGATACGGTATTTTTGCTATCAAAACTCCTTTTCTTTTGCTTAAATTTTATCTCCAAAATCAATGTTCCTTTAGGCGCCACTGCAACAAACGTTGCCCTCACTGCACTTTGCAAATATTATTATTTTTTTTTAATATGCTTGGCAAACATTTCTAAAGTGACTCACCTAAAGACTAACAGCCACAACTAATAAACAGAAAATATTAGCTTTCTTAGAAAAATAAACAAGCAAATACATATATACATAAATACTGCATCTTCAGAATTAAATTGGATTTTTTGAGGGGATGTCAGTCTTGTAGGCAAGCAAATATACTGGAGGTATAATTTTAGATTCTAATTTATTTTAGATTAGATGCACAAAAATGTTGACGGCTAGACATAAAATATTTTAAATATTTAATAAAAATTGTTATGACGAAGCCTTCATTTTTAATGTCTATGCTGTAAGACATTGGGTTCGCACGCTTTTGACAACTTTGACGTATATTCTTTATTGGTAATGACTTACACGGTTATATCCGTAACCGAGTTTGAAACAGCGCATCAGTAGTTATTTCTTTTCACGCGCCAATTTCCACACAGAACCTTTCTCTGGAAAACTCGTACCAACGATTCATCAGGCAATCCATAGGCCTGCGCCGCTAAATTGCTTTCAGTAATTGCTATTGGAACCCCTTCAAGGTCGGGCAATGGAACGTCCGCTCCATCGTCATCGATTGGGATACTGAGTTCACCATCTTCTGAAAGGTGGTATTCTGGTGGTATGCTTTCACTGCCATTCAGTAGGGTGGAGAATTATTCCCTCCATAATTTCAGTATACTCTGGGTATTGGTCTCTACATCACCTCTGGGGGTTCTACCACTACTTTTATAGTATCTATAAATTTCAGACAACTTAAAACTTAATGAAACTACATTGACTTGACTATTCAACAAGCGTTATTTGATAGGAATAATTATCGATAAAAACCTATGACCCCGAGATAAAGTTCTGGGAATCAGAACATAAATTTGTGTGCACGGAAAATAACTAAAAGTGGCAAAATGCCTCTCAAATGCCTTTTTAATCTAAATAATAGCATCACAACATGACAGAAAATACCGCAATGCTCACGTTTCCAGCATCTGCAGTGACAGTTGCAGCCATTTGAATAACACTTAAGCGTACGCAAATATTTGAAATATTAAAAATAAGAATTAAATTTAAATAAAGTCACTAAAATGTAATACCGCATATCAAAACCATAAAACTCTTTTTTGACATTATCATAGCAGACGTGCGATATTTATCAGTTGACGTTCAACTCCGCTCTCTAGCTGTAAGCGAACTGTCACGTAAAGGACATGACGAGCTGTCATGGCAAAAATAAAAACGGCGCTAAAAAAAAGAATAAGTCAAAACAGTCATGTTTGGTAAATAGTAGAAAATCATGCCTTTACGAATTTCAAAATATTTGGCTGCGAGAGCAAAATATTTCCGTGACGACATGGAAGTGAGGTATATACATTTTCTACGATGGTATAATAATTACCTCAGAAAAAATGTATGTTTTAGTAAATGACTGACAAAAATGCTTAAGTGAGTTTATGTGGTAATCTCGACAACGGTAGATTTGTACTATTCACTCATGCTAAGTTTTGGTCCATACTAACTAGTCACAGAGTAAATAATGGTAAAGGTAACAAGAAAATAGGTAACTTCCGGCACAACAAAACAATAATATCTTTCACTGGTGTATTTCTTATAACACAAAAGGATAGAAAAGGCCCTTATCTCGTTTTTGTATGACAGCTACATACATACATATATGTTAGGGTGATTCACTATCGGCGATTGCGACGTATTAGTAGCGTTTTGGGGCGAAAAGGAGGTGGCAAATTTTCAGATCAATAGCTCAAAAACTGTGGAATTAGTTCGGGTATATACAGAAAAATAAACTCATATCCCAACTGATTACTTTATTACTAGTTAAGGACTAGTTAGCGATTGTCAGCGTATTAAACAACAAAAAATCTTTCAATGAAGGACTGCACTTGAGTTTCAATGAATTTACCGTCTGTGATCAGATTGTTATCACACAAGTTAACAGTGCTTTCAAGTTTGAGTCATAATCATATCCAAATGCTAGACTTCTCACGTTCTTACTCTCAAGCAGTTTATGCAAACATAATTTTAGCGGTTTACACACACATATTTACCAAACTGACTGTTTAACCTGCTCGCTGCGTGCCATTAAGACAGGCTGTCCATCTTAGCCGATCACTTTAGGTACCCACACACACACACACACACACATACACAGGGGTTTATAGACGAGCGTATGTGATTTAACAGTAAAATACTTATCTAACGCAAATATATTTATCGCTAAAAGAAGCTGCTCACTAATCACTCGTAAATAAGTAGGCTTGAGTAATGGCTGCAACAAGAGGCAGGATGCACATGTACACATGTATGTGTAGTCATATATACTTATGAATTTACAAGTGCACAGACAAGCGAACATGTTATATAAATATGTGTCTCAAGTGCGCTCGTAAGTGTCATTTACCAGAGTAAGAGGCACTGGAGTGAGTGCGCGCACCTACACACAAACATATGTACTTACGTGTCGACTTGGACATAGATATGTTTGCATAGGTTTTATAGACATTTTGTTTGAATATATATTGTTATATATGTAYGTATGTATGTGTGCTAGATGAAAGTCAAAACTTTCCTTTAAACGCCGGACAACATTTGACTGTCTAGTCAGTAGCATTTTGTGCACACAGCCAGCGCGACGATATTTCGGCTATACAAAATATATACACTCGATCGATCCAGACAAATTGTACATGTGTATTTAGTGGTAGTGCATACTTCACTGGTGTTAAAATGATGTTCAAAAGTAAGCAAGTATTGCAGGTGGAAAAAATTACATAGACATTTTACAGTGAGAATATTCAAACAAAATGCTGAAAGTGCATTAAGCCACAAGAAAAATCGCTAACTTTGGTTGGTTGGTAACCCTTCYCACACGGTTGCTGTACAAGAACTAGATTTTGATTGATCAGTTTGTAAGGCAGCTATATGGTATAGTGGTTCGATCTGCAAAATTTCTTCGGCGTTTGTAGAGTTGTCTTAGTCAATCATGCACACTGAACTCTGTGCAGATATCTGCCAAAAGGAAAGAGTTTTCCATGCAAGAACTTAATTTTCAACGATTGTTTGTATGGCTGGTATATGCTATAGAGATGCAATATCGACGTTTTCGACAAATAAAGACCATCTTATAGAGAAAAGAATATGTGCAAAATTTTAGTTCGATATCTCAAAAACTGAGGGACTAGTTCTCGTGGCAAACTTAATATACCCTGTTCTGAGTATAAAAAGAATCTAAAGTGAATTTTAATTCTGTGAGCCAGTGAATTGATCATAAAGCAAAACGATCTTTACAAATAGAACAATAATATCCGCTAATCAGCTTATAGCCCACACTTTCGCTTATCACCAACCCGTCAGCATTGTTATGAGTTTTTAAGGTTCAAGCCTTTTAGACTTACGTTCGGCTTTGGGCGAGCTCATGGCGACACATTCAAAGATCTCCTCACTTTATATGCTATTTATACATATTATTATGACCTTACGCTTATCGCTAAAAGCCATTCTTTTCATACAGTTATTTACCATTAGTATACAAACAATATTTTTGTTCAGCAAATTAATTCTTCATCTTGTTCTTCTTCTTTCTATTTACAGCACCGATCATCGGTACGAGACACATACAATGTTTCCTTTGTTTTTGTTGCCTATCGATTTGTTATGCGTTACGCGTCAATCTCAGCGTGGGCATTGTGGCGATGACGGATCGGAATTCCACGAACAGCAATCTTACGGTGAGTGTAGAATGCAATTAATTGTAAGAGTTCGGTTGGGTAAATGAGATTAGTGCGAGATTGTTGATCTTAGGGATCTTCTTAAGGGTATTCGGGACCTTTCTATGTTCTATGCTTTCAGTTTTCTGTTGAAATCTGTAGTTAAGCAACACTGGTCACTTTCATTTTATTTAATAAAATAACTGGAATGACCTCGATACCTCAGGAATTGTTTTATATTCCTTCAAGAAATTTGTATTTCTTCAAAAAAAAAACTTCAGAAAACAAATATTTTCAAACACACTTCGCATATATAGTTCAAAAACCCGCGATGCATAGAAAACCTAGAATTGAGAATCACATTTACCAAACCTTTCTCATTTGCTCCATATAATTAAAAGCAAAGTCAGCTAAACGTAGAATTTTCTCTGCTTGCAGGTATACGATTGGAGTGAAGGCACCAAGTCCTATGTATTGAGCAGCTTTTTCTGGGGCTACATCGTTACGCAAATACCCGGTGGCCACATTGCCCAGAAATACGGCGCGAAAACATTACTGTTAATTGGCATTACGTTGTGTTCCGTGTTGACGCTACTCACACCATTAGCTGTTGAATTTGGCGGTTGGCAGTTGTTGTTTGCGTTGCGTGTCATTCAAGGGCTGTTGCAAGGTTCCGTGCATCCAGCTACGCACGCCATGTTAGCGAAATGGTCACCCGTCGAAGAACGAGGCGCACTGAGTACTTTCTGTTATTCCGGCTCACAATTCGGCACTGTTGTTATATTGGCTATAAGCGGTATCATCGCTGAATCACCACTCGGTTGGCCCGGTATTTTCTACATCTCCGGCGGTTTGGGTATACTTTGGGGTGTGTGTTGGTTAATTTTTTCGGCTAGTACACCGGCTGAACATAAAACCATCTCATTGGAGGAGCGTAAATTCATTGAAAATTCCTTGGGACAAGTTGATTCGACACCAATCACAGTAGCGCCGACGCCGTGGAGCAAGATTTTCACTTCACCACCATTTTTGTCGCTGATCATCGTACACTGCACGCATATGTGGGGTTTCTGGACGCTGCTCACACAAATTCCCAACTACATGAAGAACATATTGGATGTGGATATGAAAAATAGCGCTCTGCTATCGTCTCTACCATATACCGTCATGCTTTTGCTCAGTTTCGCCTTCATCTACCTATCAAAGGTGTTGGCACGTCGCGAAAATGTATCGTTGGCATTCAGTCGCAAATTCTTCAACTCCATCGGTCATTGGATACCAATGATCTCACTCATTGGGCTCGGCTATGTCACAAAGGAACATTCATTACTGGCTGTGATCTTGCTTACACTCACCGTGGGCATCAGTGGCGCTACGTATCTGGGTTTCCAGGTGAACCATATCGATCTGTCGCCAAACTATGCGGGTACGCTGATGGGCATCACCAATGGCTCCGCGAATGTGATGAGCGCCTTGGCGCCGCTGGCTGTCGGCCTGGTCGTCACCGATGTGGTAAGTTTGACTTATCAATTATAGCGCTTTGACATTCTATTAACCCAAACTATTTTGATGACACTCTTGCAGAAAAATGTGGTCGAATGGCGTATTGTGTTTTTCATCGCTGCTGGTTTTTACTTTGTCGGCAATTTACTCTTCGTCATATTTGGCAAGACCGAAGTGCAAAGTTGGAATTCACCCGAAGAGACATTAGCCAAGCGCTTGAACGTGGTGGACGCCGAATCGCCCGCGTTACTACTGAATGGTGATAAGAAAAAGATAACAATTACAGAGAACGGCACGCAATAGACCAACATAGCCGTGTGGACTAGTTGGTCCTTTATTTGTAGTTGTAGTTCATTAAGCACACAGAAGACCTCCTAGTTGATAGTACGCATATATCTTATGTATATATAGATACTTGTATGTGTATATTAGGGTTTATGTTAAGACTCTTAAGAATGATTCCTGTAGTGCGGATAACGCTGAATATTGTTGTTATTGTTTGCAATACTTGCGTTGCACTTGCGTCCTGCGATAATGTTATTTATATCAGTAGATTATTAAGTCGTACATCTAAGTATCATAGACACTAAGTATTTTATCTGACAAAAGGTGTGTGTGTGTGTATGTAAGAGCCTGGACAACATAAGGCTCTTACTAACCTGTACATATGTAAGTAGATCAGTCACGAATGTTAGAAAGTGCTTCGGTTGCGCTACACCGTTCGAAAAACGTGTTAATTTTGTACAATATAAATATAACTGTACACAGAATTAAGTCACAAATGTGCTTCCATTGACAGCGCAAGGAAATCGGGAAAACATAGGTCATAAACAAACATGCAACTATTAACGATATTATATTTTTTAATGAAAAACAAAATTAGCTAAATACAAGAAGAAAAAAATCTATAAATTAATTTTAATTAAATAATGACTTAGAAATTTTTCACTAAATTTTGTTTACAGTATTTTGTGAGCAGGTGTGTAATTTGTAGTAATTCGTTGAGCAATTTGAACAATTGGCGATAAGGAGTGCTGGTCGTGATGTGCGAGCGAATGCATCAAGTGCCGTTATTAGTGTTAGAAACAGTGTACAATATAGAATTTTACTTTTCTCTGATTAAATGCAAAATAAAGTCGAATTACATCACTTTAGAGCGCTGAGTGCACAGTTAGATTATTTTTTGTTTAAATTAAATTATTGATTGATTTGCTTATTCGCAAAGTGCCAGTTGGTTACAACACCGAAGTGACGTCTTTACTGTCTCCGCGTTGTGTAATCGTAAAAAATGCGACATCAATGCACTTAAATCACTTGTATATATAAATTCGATCGTCGCTAGGTTTATCTTATCAAATCGCTGCATATAATCACTGTTGTCAGCTCGATTCGCTACAATGAGTTGTGCATTTTGTTATCGAATTAGATTATCCACTTCAGCGTTTTTTGAGCACTTTGTTTTGACCAAGTTGTTTTATATGAATTTATTTCTCAATCGGCCAATGTATTTTAGTTGAGTTTTGTAAATTTCGTCTTACTTTAAGCGCGCACTTATCCTTAAGTTGTTATATTAAATGATGTTAGCAGTGTAGTTGTTATTTTTTTAATATGCAATAATTTAATTTTTACGAATTGAGATATAAGAAAACATTACATATATATTTAATTATAGAAAATGAAAGAATTTGAAAACTATTATAGACATATATACAAGAAAAACATAATTATAATACTAGAAAATCTGGAATTAAACTCCAAAAATAAACTCAAAATCAATACAATTGGTAAAAAAAAATAGTTGTCTCATTATTGATCCAAAAATGTACACATATTATGGTATCTTTTAACCGATTTTAAAACTTAGTATTTGTAAAAATATTTATTTGGAGAGGAACCACAGCTGATCTCTGGCAGCTCCTCTCAAAAAAGACGGTTTGCTTTCCAATAAATCTCTGAACTGAGTACTCTGAAATTAAAAACTCAAACAGAGTGTAAAATATTTAAAGTAATATTAAATCTAGGAATTAATAGAATGAATAAGCAAGAGTAGAACATCACTATGTATATATTAATTCGGCTAGTTAAAGCATTTATAAAATAAGAACGGCTGTACACTACTACCAGTAGTGGAGTTTCAAACCTGATTTCTGATATACCATATTTGCGAAGACTTTAGACTTTTTAAGTTACTCTGCACCTTTCCGCAAGATATTTTTTCTCGGAGATTTTCCTGAAGATCGGCTATTGGATCAAGCGAATTGAACATTTTTCAAAATGAATCACCTATTATGGCGATAGGTTTATCTGGTAGGCCATACCAGATGGAGTTTAGTTGCTAAGACAAAGAGTCAGAATAGTCATCGTTTAGGATGCCTACTCTTGACGCGAATTTTAACAGACTTCCTCCAGTGTATCATACTGTGGGGATCCCAGATGCTTACAGCGTATTCTTGTCGATGCGGGATAAGTGCACAAGAGACGCTCTATTGTTTCCCTGGTGCGTTGCTCTAGACATTTCCTGCAGTCTTCTCGATCTGTCAGCCCCACCTTTCGGGCGTGTGTCGCCACCAGACATTGACTAGTTGGTATTGCCATCGTGTTCCTACATTCTCTTCTATCGAGTGCCAATAGGAATTTTGTGTACTGATAATATATTTCCGCACGAACTCCATCGCCCATTTTCGAGCCATCCGTATAGAAGTTAAGTTGCGCGTAGATAACATACCTTTATACTAGGCATATTTTTCTATGTTTACTTTGAACCTTCTTTCTCAATTGAAAAGTGGGATCATGTACCTACCGCGCTTTCTCCTCTAGCCAGTAGTGGTCCAGCCTATTTTGCTGCGCAGTTTTCAGAGGTTTATAGGTGGTAAGTTTGGAACCAGTTCAAGAGCCATCGTTGGAGTTGTTCTTAAAGCTTCCATTATGACAGCGCAGCTGAACCGTTTCCATTGGCTTCCGGTAAGTGGATTTCCATACGCCTGTCCACCATACAATAACGTTATACATTTGATCGTTTCTGTTTGCCATGAAATTGAACATACAGAAGGAAGCGTAGTAGGGTCTGTAAATTATATAGTAGGGGAAGGTGGGGAATGTTGGGCACATGGGGAATCCCGGGCCAGCTCGATATTTTTTTCCCTAGTATAGGTTGACAGCTGCAACCAACTGTCATCGGCTCGTCTCATACTAAGCTCAGTTTCTATATAGCACTCGAGCTGTGAACACGTGTTATAACCTCTCTGCGACAACAAAAAGAAATTCGACACTCCGAAAGTTTTTTTTTCAACTCTGTGTACAGTTGATTTTTTTTCACATTTTCCAATAAATTCATCCAGGTAAATATGTTTATAATATTAGTTGAGCCTTTAGCCTTCGACACACAAAAGAAATTTTGTACGAATTTACATTGTGTTCATTATCCACCGCCATTTTGCAAATATGAGCGTTTGGGGAATCTCGGGGCACTTATTACGGGGAATGTCGGGCCACATAGTTTTTACATTTGACATGCTAACTTCATATATTTGACGTGTATAAGTGATTTTTCGTGCAGAATTTCAACAACACAATAGTTTTTCAACATTTCCTGATAGTTTCGTGCTCCGAAAAATTTTTTTTAGTCATTATGCCGSGGTACTAWCCCAAACAAGAGAAAATTGTTGATTTCGAYAACATTTTGGAGGCGATCAAGTCGGTGAAAATACATCACAACAGCGTTCGACAATCTGCGACGGCACACAAAATTCCGAGGACCAACCTGATGCGTTATATTGCAGCATTTGATGGTGCGAGCATCGACGTTACTACTACCAATGCCGATGTAATGAAGAATTTGCTGGCTGAAAGCACGACGATGGGCACAAAAACAGTGAGTTCTGCTGGTTTCTTTCTTTTTCTTCCATCGAATAATGAATAATTTTTTTTTGTTTATTTCAGATCTTCAACATCGAACCAGAGAAGGCGCTGATAAGCTACATTCTCCAAGCCAGCGACATCAACGTAAGCTCGCGTATGAATTTGCTCGGAAAGTTGGCGCGTCGTATCCGGATCCATGGAACGATAATCAACATGCGAGTAAGGATTGGCAGTTGGCGTTCAGGAAACGCCACAAAAATTTGTCACTGGGAACACCAGAGCAAGTAAGCCAGAGCCGT